GTGGGCCGGCGTTGCCGCGGCCGGAGCCTCGCCTCCGCCTCCAGGCAGCACGAGCCCGCCGCCGCACAGGGACCGGCATCACAGGAAGAGGCAATCCCAGTAGGTAAGCACCATCCACAGCGAAACGATCGACACGAGCTTGATCGGGCACACTTCGGAATCCGAAAATGGAGCCTGCTGCTATAACCCGCTGGGGCCGTGCCCAGCGTACCCGTATAACGCACGTCCGACACGTCAGCACATACCCATACAGGTTCTTCACACGAATCGCAGTCGGGCGTGATGATCAAACAACGAGCGGGGGACTTGGGTAGAAAGCGGCCACCAGCGGTTCGTGCCATACATATGGACCCGCGACATTGTAGCGAACCTATGCAAACGATCCAGGTGCCAATGCTGAAGCCATGCTCACCTAGTGATAGCTCGACGGTTCCTCTGGTCCTGCGCTTGCGCACGAGCTGATTCCTCGAACGAGGCGGTGACAGTGGGGACGTGACCGACAACGTGCTTCCCCCCCACACAGGTCGGCTGACCGACGCCAAGCACGTATCCAAATCCAAATGTAACGCCAATCACGAGCAGGAAGCCGAGGAGCAGGCGGACCCAGAGCACTGACGAGGGCCCTTCGCATGCACAGACCAGTTCGGAGCGCGCAGGCAGTGCCGACCAAGTCAGTGAGGGACTGCACGGTGGGTACTGAGGACTGCCAGCCCAGATGGCCAGGGAAGCAGACACTCCTCGGACCGCCTCGGAAAGAAGAGCGCGGGCCAAAAGACTCATGACAAAAACTTGATCCCAGAGCAACAGTAAGATACACTGATACACTGAACCCTCCTGGTCATCGACGATTAAGTGTGCCTGAGTGTTTTTTCCCTCCTGAGTGTTGTCGCGGGTTGGTCTCTCTGGGCCCCCAGAACCGAGGAGGGCGCTGCGCCCGCCCCGGCGCCGCCGCTCGCAGAGGCGGCGCGACTCCGCCAGAGGCCTCTTTCGCCCAGTTTCGCTCAGAATCGACATATGTCGGGTGTTGCTAGACGTACCGCTGGCCCAAGGTACCCTCAGGATTCTCGGGGTGGCCCAGGCGGCCTCCAGGGCACCCCATCACGAGGCCCAGAGGACCCAGGGGCTCCGAAACGGAGCGAAAAGCTGGGGGGCACCTTGGGCCAGGGGCACTTCTAGCAACACCCGAATCTGAACCCCTGGCGGACACCATGCTGACCGGCTGTTCGAGCTGCGGCCAGCTGTGGCCAAGATGGGCGACCCCGAAGCCCAGAGCAGACACCCAAAAACAGAAACACCATCTCGAGCCTTCATCCCCGACTTACGACGACTCGGAATTTTCGAGCCTCGGGGCTCTGGACCTCTCTACGCCTTCCCAGGCGGTGTTTCTTTGTCCCGACTCGTTTTTGGTACAAGGCCCCGGAGGTCCGAAAACGGCCTCCTGAGGACGAGGAGGGAGAAGGAGTAGGGAGGAGGGAGGAAGAAGGAGGAGGAGGAGGAGGAGGTGGAGGAGGAGGAGGGAGGAGGGAGGAGGAAAGAGGAGTGATGAGGGAGGATGAGGGAGGAGGAGGATGGAGGAGGGAAGCGGCCTCTCCCGAGGCCCTGAGAACGACGATAAAAACGTCCGTCTCGCTCTGTTCGAGCCGCCGATGATCATCCGACTCCTACTGCTGGGTCAGGGGCTTAGCCGTCCTGATACGCAACACGCATAGACACGCAGGGGCTTAGCTGTCCTGATACGTAGCATGTTGACACGGAGCTCAACGCATAGACTGAAAACGTAGGCATGGCGCGATATGCTCGTCAAAACGCGGGCCAATACGCTGAGCCAGCGCGCAACGTATTGACATGGACGTTTGTAGCACGGTACGTGTTGCGTTTCAAAACGGGCGTATCGAGGTTAAGGTCGGGGGTTGCCAATTGAATGCGCCCCTTGCCCGAGGTGCCCCCCCGCCTTCCGTTGAATGTTGGAGCCCCTGGGGCCCTCTGGGCCTCGTGAGGGGTGCTCTGGAGGCCGTGCAATGAGGGTCTTGACCTAAGGAACCATAAATAAGGAACGCAGCCCCTTTTCTCCAAGTAAGCCCATGAAACCAGAAAGAAAGGCCGAGCCCCTTTCTAGCGGCGTTCCGCTACGATTTGCTCTTGCAATGCGACCCCGCCCTCTCCGCCGAACCACCAAGGAACGCCCGCCCCCCCCCCCTCCCCCGCCGCTCCAAAACCGCACGCAGAAGAGCAGCCTGCGAACGACGCGTTAGGAACGCCAGGGGCTCGGGCTAGGAACTGTCTTAACGCGACCATTTTCGGTTTCGATTCCACACGTGAGCCCCCAATCGCACCGCGCAAGGAACGCCAGGGGCTCACGTGGTGGCCTGGGTCTTGAATTGACCACTTTCCGATTCGGTTCCGAGCGCGAGCCCCCGCTCGCACCGCGCAAGGAACGCCAGGGGCTCGCTTGGGGGGCCAGGCCTTAAACTGACCGCTTTCGGACTCGGTTACGCACGTG